TTATGTTCTGACCACTAGAGCTTTGTAAAGTGTTCTGTTAATTTGTTGTTTGCTCTTGAGCTCCAAATATGTCCTCATATTAACCATCGTGTGATGAATTATTGGTTTGCCTATCTCTGACAGCACACAGCTTCGCTTCTAACACTTTCTTTGCCTTGTGCTCTGTCGCCTTTTCCCACTCCCTCTTTTTTCTTTTTCTCCTTCCGTTTAATGCCACAAAGGGCGAGATAAAAGCTCAGTTTGGGACCAACTGGAGGATGCTGCCATGGAAACCTTTTCTCTGAGTATGGCTGAACTCTGCCTTTGACCTTTGGGATGTGTGTATTTTGGGATTGTGAAGTTGTAGTATTAGACACGACATGTCTTCCCTTACATCCATACTGTGGCTGTGTTTAAGTCTTGTAAAGAAGCATGTAGGGTGTTTTTAATTTTTCCCATGAAATGAAATATATTTGAATTTATTGGTGTGTGCATGGTATTGTTTGCATGAAGAGAGAATTAAAATACACAAGCCAGAAGGAGCAGATACGCCAACTTTATTTTGTAATTTAATGTGTTTGTGTGAAATTGAGGGGTGATGAAAGCTGCTTGAGAGAATGTGAATGCTAAATCAATAAGCAGATGTATGGAGGCGTGTGTTATCTCTGTGTTAAAATTAATTTCATAAGGTTTGATAGCAAGCTCTATCTATTACAGCATGCAGTTGCTTTGGGTGCTTGAGGTCTCTTTCTGTTTGTTAATTTATGGAGGGTGTTTTATTTTAATACTCATTTAAAATTTAATACTCTAGTTTTTATGGCTATGTCTTGAACATCTGACATTTACAATAAGAAGTGTTTTATGCTGGCATGTTGAATTGAAATACTGTTTTACTCAAGTTAAGAGTGAAAATGTGTGTATGGGTAGGTAAGGAGCGCTCTACTCTGTGGGATCAGATGCAGTTCTGGGAGGATGCCTACCTGGATGCCGTTATGTTGGAAAGGGAAGGAATGGGGATGGATCAGGGACCTCAAGAAATGATTGACAGGTTAGTATATTCTTTAAATGCCTACCTAATTGTTCACACTGAATCGAAAGCAACACAAAATGAAATTGAAAAACATCTGCATAACTAGTCCAGAATGAATTTCTTTCATTCATAATCCTCTGATTTCAGAAGTTTACATACTTTACTGATAGAATGCAGAATACATACTGGTTGTTCACATGCTTTTATACAAATTTCACCCATCTTCACATTTTCCGCTCCAGGAGAATGAACAACACATTGGAATACTTTTAAGCTATAAGCTATTTAGTTATGCTAGGAATCAGATGTTATCTGTGCTGTTGTGTTTTGTTTATGTTGTCTAAATGTGACTGTGCTGTGGTCTCTCAGGTATCTGTCTCTTGGAGATCATGACCGCAAGAGACTGGAGGACGATGAGGACAGACTACTGGCCACTCTTCTGCATAACATGATCGCCTACATGCTTATGTTGAAGGTATACACAAACACTCACTCATTATTTCACGTATATTTAAGCGAATATGGATATTTTTCAAGTGAACAGTTCAGTTGTGACATATTCAGCCATTCGGTGTTTCCAAATTATTACGTTTATACACTGATGTTCAAAAGTTTGGGATCAGTAAGATTTGTCTCTTCTGTTAATCATGGCTGCATTTTTGACCATAAATACAGAAAAAACAGCCATTTGCCATTTTAAAATAATGTCTTTCTTTTTTAATATACTTTAAAATATCATTTATTTCTGTGATGCAAAGCTGAATTTTCATCAGCCATTACTCCAGTCTTTAGTGTCACATGATCCTTCAGAAATCATTCTAATATGCTGATTTATTATCAATGTTGGAAATGGTTTTGCTGCTATTTTTTTTTTGGAACCTGTGATACTTTTTTCAGGATTATTTGATGAATAAAGTTAAATCTTTTCTAACAATGTAAGTCTTTATTATCACGTTTAAATCAATTTAACACATCCTGAATAAAAGCATAAATTTCTTTAAAAAAAAAGGAAAAGAAAAAAAATGACTGACCCCAAACTTTTGAACGGTAGTGTATATTGTTACAAAAGGTTTCTATTTTGAATAAATGCTGTTCTTTTTAACTTTTTATTCATCAGAGAATCCTGAAAGAAGTATCACAGGTTCCCAAAAAAATATTAAGCAGCACAACAGTTTCCAATATTGATATTAAATCAGCATATTAGAATGATTTCTGAAGGATCATGTGACACTGAAGACTGGAGTAATGATGATGAAAATTCAGCTTTGCATCACAGAAATACATAATATTTTAAAGTATAATAATATTTTAAATAATAAAGTTATTTTAAATTGCAATAATATTTCACAATGATACTATTTTTTCTGTATTTCTGATCAAATAAATGCAGCCTTGATGAGCAGAAGAGACTTCTTTTGAAAAACATTACAAATCTTACTGATCCCAGACTTTTGAACAGCAGTGTATGTATACATACACTAGCATTGAACAGTTTGGGGTCAGTTATATTTTTTGTATAAGAAATTAATTGTTGTATTTGGCAAGGATGCATTAATTTGATCAAAAGTGACAGTAAAGACATTTATAATGTCAAAAAAGATTTATGTTTCAAATAAATTATGTTCTTTTGAACTTTGTTCATCAACGTTTTCTGGAAAAAAATGCACTACGGCTTCCACAGAAATATTGACTAATATTAATGTTAACTCTTACTGTTACATTTATCTAGGTCGGTAAAAATGACATCAGGAAGAAGGTACGGCGTCTTATGGGGAAATCTCACATTGGCCTCTCACACAGTCAGGAGATCAATGAGGTCCTGGACCGCCTTGCACATTTGGTAAGAGCCAGTTAGATGAAGAGTTACAGCTATTGCATGTAAACCAGTAGCCAAACATATCAGAATTAGGTGATGAGTGGTTGACAGATTGTGTGTTTTGTTGCAGAGTGGTCGGGAGCTTCTCATCAGGCCAAGTGGCAGCCGGCATATAAAGAAACAGACATTTGTTGTGCATGCGGGGACTGATACAACTGGTGATATATTTTTCATGGAGGTATGAGCCCGTGTCCCTCATTTTTGATTTCATTTAACCAGTCTTCATGAAAACATATTGTAAATGAATATTCGGTCCTCCTTTCCTCATCCTTGTGTTTGCTTAGGTGTGTGACGACTGCATCGTCTTGCGCAGTAACATCGGCACAGTCTATGAGCGCTGGTGGTATGAGAAGCTCATAAATATGACCTACTGTCCCAAGACCAAAGTGTTGTGTCTGTGGAGGAGGAACGGTCAAGAGACACAGCTTAACAAGTTCTACACCAAGAAGGTAAGACGCACATCAAAGTAAAGGCATACTGTAGTATACACACACACCACATACTTCAAAATGTGACAAGTCTCATTCTCAATTCAGAAATGTTGTATTGTTTCAGTATAGTCAGTGTAAATAAATCAATGACTACTTCTTTCTCCATTCCTGTGTGTTTTTGTGTGTTAAGTGTCGGGAACTGTACTACTGTGTTAAAGACAGCATGGAGCGTGCTGCCGCACGACAACAAAGCATTAAACCAGGTACATTGTGCATCTTTGTACACAACCATTCAAAAGTTTTGGGTCTATAATTTTTATTTATTTATTTTTATAATCATTTTGAAAAAAGCTCACTAAGGCTGCATTTATTTAGTCCAAAATACAGTAAACTAAAGTAAGGTTTTTTTTTTTTTTTGGAATCCATTTTTAAATGTAATTTGTTCCTGTGATGTAAAGCTGAAGTCTTCAGTGTCACATGATCCTTTAGAAATCATTATAATATGCTGATTTGGTGCTCAAGAAATATTTATTATTATTATTATTTTATTTTATTTTAATTTATTTTTTTTATAAATAGATGTGCTGCTTAATATTTTTGTGGAAGCTGTGACACTTTTTTAAGGATTTTTCAAGGTGCTGTTCAAAATAGAAATCTTTTGTCACATTTTTACAGTCACTTTTAAACCATTTACTGTGTTCTTGCTGAATAAAAAGTATTATAATAATTATTATATTACAATTATAATATATTATAATTTCTTTAAAAAATCTTACAGACCCTGAACTGTAAATAAATTGGGCCACTTTCATTGAGATGAAATACTCAAAGTGGCCCATTTTAACTGAAATTTGGATGTATAATCTTCTGCTTCTTGTTGTTGGAATAAACAAAGTATTTTTTATCTCTCACCGCCATGTGCGTTTTTCCATGTGTGTAGGTCCAGAGCTGGGAGGCGAGTTTCCAGTACAGGACATGAAGACAGGGGAGGGTGGTCTCCTTCAGGTCACGCTGGAAGGCATCAATCTCAAATTTATGCATAGCCAGGTAGGAGGTGTTGCCTTTATCATAACCATGACAAAGTGCTTGCCAGATTCAACACCGCCATTCCTCTCATTCTCATTCCATCCAGTTCTGTTTCTCTTTTCTGCCACTTCTCATCTGTATTCATCTCATTATCCCTCCATGTCTCTTTTCCTTCCTCTCTATCCGTCTTTATATTCGTGCCTTTCTTCCTTTGAGAATTTTTTTGGAGCAACTGATAAAGTAATAAGAGCATGCACTAAAAAAATTAAAAGTGAAACATTTATTTTGATATTAGACTCTAAAATAAATTAAAAGCTGGAAGTGTTGTTCCTGAAGAATCTCTTTGAGGAATTGCTGTTTTCTTTTCTTTTTTCGTTGTTGTCATTGTTGTTTGGCTTTATTTGCTAGATGTTTGTTTTTGGGTTGCATAATCACAAGCAGAGATTAACTTTTTCAAATGTCAGAACATTCCACCCGCTGTGTGTGTTAGTATGATGTGTTAATGGTCGCGGCGCGCAGCTCTGGTTCTTACGGGTTTGTGAGTGTTGGTGTGATGTCGGTTTGTTGTGGTGTGCCAGAGGTAAGACGTAGAACCTTGTGCAAAACATATTCAAAGCGGTAATGTACAAAATACATTGTTGGGGAGCAGGGCCAGCCGAAGCCTTTATGGGGCCCTAAGCAGAATTATATTTGGGGGCCCCTCGGTGCTGCCAATACGACTGATTATTGTCAATGCTTGATTATTCACACACTATAAATCTAACACACCCATTATCAATTTTATTTGTTGTATCTGTGTTGCTTACATCATACCAGTGTCTGCCTGTTATGCTTTTACCCTTCTACGATTTTTAATTGTAACAGTAGCAAACTCACATGTGTGGTCAGGTGTTAATTTGCACTTTAACATTCAAAGTCTTACAGTACTAAGTGGCATACTTAATGTGGTGTACTGAAAAGTAGCTAAATAAACCAGCAGACAGTGCATTTACAGAACAGGGCTGCGTTTCCTAAAAGCATCGTAAGCCTAAGTTGATTGTAACTGCATTGGTGACAATGGTTCTATGATCAACTTAGGCTTTCGATGCTTTTGGGAAACGCAGCCCAGAATGTTATTTTAACAACATCAATTATTAAACACAGCAGCAAGCCATCTGTAAATCAAAAACAACAACTCTTAATCTATTGCTAACTAATTGAGGCATAATGTTGTTGGAATATAATTTCAAAGACCCCAAAGGTAGGCTGATGTAAATAATGTTAAGCTGTTATCAGTACCAAGTCTATGAAACAGAAGCTTATTTTTATTACAAAATTATATACCCAGGAAATTTATTTTTGCACAGTTATTTTTATTTTTACAAGACAAAAACTTTCATCTAAAACTAGCTAAGTAAAAGGTTATATTATAATATATTAAGATCATAATAGATAAGAATAAAAGATAATAAGAAGAACATCGAGGTTCAATTGGTCGCCCCTCCACCCCCGAAATGCGATCGATTTTAACCCTTAGGCTGATGCTAAGCCAGAGAAAGATGTGCTCAGTGCTTTTCATATATCACAACTGTTCAGTGTTTTCAACCACATAAAGTTTATTTAAGGTTTCAGACATTTCAAATAAGTACTTCAATTAGACATTTCAGTTAAATACTAGCAAAAAAAAAAGACATTTATTTCTATGGAAAACGGCAATAATAATGCTTTCAATTAAAATTTGACGATGTGTTTTATTCCTGTCAATTACACATTGTGTAGGGAACTATAAAGTTTACTCCAAGTTCACGTGCCACTTATTTTAATGTATTTCGGGAGAAATGGGGGAATTTACGTGATGTTAATCTGACAGATCCACACGACAGCATCCAGCACGCATTATACTATCAACTAACATGGTCATTAAGGTTGTTTAAACAACAAAACAAATTAATTTACACACATTTGACAATCACAATAGGCTGTATCATATAGGTTATGATATAATTAACAAGTTTGTGAATATTTTAAATAACAAAGGAAATACTAAATAAAAGCGATACATCTGTCATACAGCACTATTGTGCCTGCATGACGCGTTGCTATGGAAATAATATAAGTTATTTAATATTGTGTTTTGTATTATCATTGCAATAATATTGACAATATATGAAGAAAGAAAAAATCAAGCTGTCATTTCATGTACTCTTGGGGGCCCCCTGGTGGCCACGGGGGGCCCTAAGCAGCCGCTTAGTTCACTTATGCTCTGTTGGGGAGATTTAAATAATACATTTCCTATTTAAAAGTTTAGTCACTCTAGTGAATTTTAATTCTAATCTTAACCAACTATAAAAACAAATGCTTTAAACTGACTCTAATGAGAGACAAGCAGGTAATAGTTCTTAAAACTGATTTTATAGATTCTACTTTAAGTGATTAAGACCATATGTCTGCCTTCTGTTCCACCTAATACTGCTGTTCTGGGATTATTTAACCTGGTTATTTGTCTCTTGTTACTTTGCTGCTCATAAAACTAATGTGAACTGAATGCATGTCTAGAAAACAACAGCCTGTTTTCTTTTTGATTTGAAAAAGCGCATATCCCACTGAACTCCCTCGAGGAGAAATGCAGTAGTTACGGAATGCTGATACTTTGGAAAAGACTGGAACAATTAGCAAACAATGCAAACCTTAAATAAGTCAGTAATTTTTTTCTAACATACTCTTCTTTTGCCTGGGTTATCTTAGGTCATAATCTACCACTGCTGTAAGGACTTAAAGGGATAGTTCACCCATTTACTCACCTCATGTCGTTTCAATCCTGTGTGACTGACTGACTTTTGTGGAACATAAAAGAAAATATTTTGAGGAACGACAGGTTTGGAACTAGATGAGCTTGACTAAGTAATGACAAAATATCGCTATAATATGACATTATGGGTGCCTTGCTGTGGTCACTAGTCAATTACTTGAGTCTTTAAAGAGTGCTAACAGGTAAAAGGTCAGCAAAAGAGTTCAGTGCTGTTGAAAACTGTAAAACTTCGAATTTTAAAAATCATTTATGTAGTGTCGTTGTGTGTGTTGTAATGGTTTTGGCACTGTTCTGTTTTGGCTGTAGGCATGTGTGAGCGAGCTAGTCCTCATTGCTGGTGGAGGAGGCATGGAGGGTAATGGGGTGGGAACACATGAGGGGTTTCAAAACTAACGTAAACATAATGGAAGATATTAACAGTTAATGTACGAAGACTTTGTTCTTTCTGGATGGAATCAGCGGTTGTAGTTTAATACCATACGGGTGGGCTCGTAGCACCAGAAGGTGTTTTGTGCTCTTTTTGTCCAATAATAATCCAAACCGTTTCTCTCCCATGCTCTCTCCCCCTGCAAGGAGCGGAAGGTACACAACCTCTGCAGTCTTTGCTTTTTAGTGTGACATTTTCATTTGCTTTTTTCTTTCTTTTCCTTGTACTGTAGCTTTTCTGGCAGACGCCACTTTTTTGTGTGCTTATTTTTTAAATGTCTTTTGTATTATTTTCTCTCTTTTTGTTTTCTTTTTGGTCTGCGTGTGTCTGTCTTTTTTTTTTTCTTTTTCTGATGATGGAATTTTCCATGGATGTCTTTGCATGGGCCCTTTCAGCACATAGGGGGATCAGTGCCATGATTTCGTTCCCACTTTTGGTGCAAATGGTCACAGCTGCAGGTTTATATTAGCTCTTTAGTCTTTAGTGCTTCAAAAATACATCTGTTATACAAGTCTCCAGTGCCTCAAGAACACATCATAAATGAATAGTGTAGAATGAAGGCAGTTCTCCTCTTGGCTGGACAAGTATTGTAAATGCACAGTGATTTTCTTGAAAGCGAGACTCTCTTAAGAGCTATAGTGTTGACTTTTTGATTAATTTAATGCAATTTAATAATGACAAAAAAAAAATGTATCTGGGGTTATTTTTACTCCATAGAATATGAAGACCCATAATGCTGCTCCGGTGTTGAAACCTTTACGGCTCACCATTTGCGTCATTGGCCCATGTAATCCAGTCAACATGGAAACTTCTCTTTCTGTGCAGTCATATTTTTTTGTTCTGGTAGCTTTTCAACAGCTTGCTTATCATGTTCTTTCTTCGTTTCTCTCTAGTTTACAGTAACTAACTGTCCAGATTGTCATCTCTTCAGAAAATACTTTTTTTTGTTTTCCCACAAGTGTGTGATTGAGTTGGTAACAGTGTGTCCTGTTGTTTTTTGTTTGTTTTTGTTTGTTTTTAGGTTTTCATAGAGCTGAGTCACATTAAAAAGTGCAATACAGTGAAAGGAGTCTTTGTCCTGGAGGAGTTTGGTAATTACCCCCATTTTGATTCTAGGCCTGTACGCGACACAGCAGTAACTCAGTCACATGCAGAGCAGAGAAGTTATCATGTTCAGCACTGTTAGATGTGGCGATCTGAACGACTGAATGAGCTTTAGGAGCAAAGGGTATATATATATATATATATATATGTATATGTATATGTATATGACGGTAGGACCATAGTTTTAGTTGTTGCTCCAGTAGTGCATAGTCTAAAAACCTAAAAGCAGCGAGATCCTATCTGCCTCCAGAATCCTGTCCCCCTTGGACCCAAAGCCATTCCACTTGGTGAGACAGTGGTGTATTAATTATTATATTAATATTAGCGTTAGTATTAACACTAGAGACTTTTTTTTTAATTTAGTGATCAGTATTGTATATTTAATTGTGCATTATATGCCATCGTCTAATGCTCACTTAAAATGAATCTGTAAAGACACAAGTAATGTAATAGAAATTTAATTTAAACTTTTTAAATATTATAGAAATATTATGTGACCCTGGACCACAAAACCAGTCATAACCAGTCATTTTTTAATTGATATTTATTCATCGTCTGAAAGCGGAATAAATCAGCTTTCCATTGATGTATGGTTTGTTAGGATAGGACAATATTTGGCCAAAATACAACTATTTGAAAATCTAGAATCTGAGGGTGCAAAATAATCTAAATATTGAGAAAATCGCCTTTAACGTTGTTCAAATGAAGTTCTTAGCAATGCATATTACTAATCACAAATTAAGTTTTGATATATTTACGGTAGGAAATTTACAAAATATCTTCATGGAACATGATCTTTACTTAATATCCTAATGATTTTTGGCATAAAAGAAAAATCAATAATTTTGACTCGTGCAATGTATTTTTGGCTATTGCTACAAATATACCCCAGCGACTTAAGCCTGGTTTTGTGGTCCAGGGTCACATATAGAAAATTAATTGAAATATTAAATGTGATCTTTAAACAACTATCCATTTTTCATACTCTACATGATAATGTTGTGATCCGTACATTCACCATCAATTAAAACGATTGATTTGAGTTTTTAGGGTTACATTTTAGTTATATATTTAAACATAATTTTAATATCATCTATCATGCTTATCACTATCTGTCGAAATATTGTTTTTATTATTCACATATCACACTGAAGTTTAGAAAACGTTTAAATTAAACTGTTCCCTTTTTTTGTTCTTCAGTTAGCAAGCTAATAGCTTTAAGCACTGTTAACTGGTTAAGAAATGCTTTGTTTATTAGCTAAATCAAGATAATCAAGATAACACACTACATTTTTATCTGGCAGGAAGGGGAATAGGATTCTTCCGGTGGATAAGATCTTGCACAACATCAGCATTTTTGAGAAATAATGCACAGTTGAAGTTCTTCGGTGACGAATTAACTGATCAGATCTTTTAATCATGATTACTGCTTTAAGTGATAGTTCACCTAAAATGTTTGTCACAGTCTTTAGAATAGAAGGCTTCATAAAGTTAGATAAAAACTAAACCATGTAGAGATTGTTTAACCCAGGGGTGTCTAAACTCGGTCCTGGAGGGCCGGTGTCCTGAAGAGTTTAGTTCCTACCCCAATTAAACACACCTGAAGCAGCTAATCAAGCTCTTACTAGGCATAGTAGAAACTTAAAGGCAGGTGTGTTGAGGCAAGTTGGAGCTAAACTCTGCAGGACACTGGCCCTCCAGGACCGAGTTTGGGCACCTCTGGTTTAACCGGTCCTTCTGGAGATATGTACAATGAAGGGAGTCTCTTCTGTAGTCACAGAGTCGCTCTAGACTGGGTTAGTGCTGTGTCTTTGTGCTTCCTTTTTGTAATCCGCCCCCTCATCTTTGCTGCTATGAAAACCTTCATTCTCCAGCAGGTAAAGTGCTGTCACCTTTATATTTTCTTCTTCTCTTCCTTAACCTGTCCTCCTCATTTAACTCTACATCTGTCATCATCTTTCATACATCCTCGTTCTCCATTAATGGCTGTCGATCTGCACTGCACTGCCTTGATGTCAGATGTCGCTTCTCCTACACTCGAGTTCATACGCTCATGCCTGTAGTAAAAGTCATTCCATAAGTGATGGAAAAACCCAGCAGACCCCGGATGTCCTTCCAACTTCAGCTTTCAATGATATTCCCTCTCTTACTTTTTCTCTCTCTGATTTCTCCATCTATCCTCCACCACTCTTACTCTGTATTTCTTTTCTCTGGCTTTCTTTCTCCTCCTCGAGCCTGCCTTGATTCAGTTCCCCATTGCATAAGAGATTCTCAGCCTTGTGGGAAACGTCTACCGATGATAAATCCTGTTCAGTCATATGATCTTAATGAGTGCTGCTCTTCTGCTGCAAGATTCAGTGCTCTGTAGCTCTGTCTGAAATGTGGCGGGGTCAGATATAGATGATTAATATTCATTTGTCATGGGCTGTATGTATGCCTCCCCTCTTCTCTCTCTCTCTCTCTCTCTGTCTATCACTCTCTCTCTCTCTCTCTCTCTCTCTCTCTCTCTCTCTCTCTCTGTCTATCACTCTCTCTCTCTATCTATCACTCTTTCTCTCTGTCTGTTTCTGCCCCCTGCCCTTGAATATTTTATGCATGTTATTCCACTGCTGTTGAACTTTTTATTTTGTGTCTTGCACTGGTATTTGCAGTTCCTGAAACTAAAGAAGTGGTGATCCATAAATACAAGACTCCTATGGTAAGATTTCAGTATGCATACAGTACTATACAGTAGAGCTGTAACATCAATACAGATTTCCAGATTCAATCCAATTCAGAAGCTCTAAACTTGTTGCAGTCTGTTTCGCTCTAAATATACAAGAAACGTATAAATTAGTACTGATTCAAATGGTATGTTTTTTTATTATTCCAATAAGTATTTTAAATGTTTTGTGCAATTTTTGAATATTTAATTAAAACGTTTTTAAGAGTACATTTTTCTGAGTAAGACTACATTTTACAGCTAAGTCACATCTGGCAATATCGACAATATTATTGAACTGAATTAAATCAATCTTGAACTGATTAGAGCTGCTTTACAGCAGGATCTGAATTGTCTCCGTAGTTGAGTTTCCATAATTGATTCTATTATTTTCCTATCACTGTGAAGCTGTTTTGTCACAATCTGTATTGTGTAAAGCACTATAGAAATAAAGGTGTCTTGATTTGACAACACTGATCCATCTTAAAGGGTTAGTTCACCCAAAAATGAAAATTCTGTCATTAATTACTCACCCTCATGTCGTTTCAAACCCGTAAGACCTTCGTTCATCTTCGGACATCAGTGGTTCATCCGCAATTATACCAAGCTACAAGCTTCACGTAGCTTCGTATAATTGCGGATGAACCACTGATGTCACATGGATTCTTTTACAGATCTCCTTGCTACGTTTCTGGACTTGGGAACATTTCAGTTGCGTTGCTGTCTATGCAGGGTCAGACAGCTCTTAGATTCCATCAAAAATATCTTAATTTGTGTTCCAAAATGAACAAAGGTCTTACCGGTTTGAAATTACATGAGAGTAATTAATGACAGAATTTTCATTTTTGGGTGAACTAACATTGTAAGGTGTGCCACCAATAAAAAGTAGTACAGAAAACACTAGTATAGAAGGAAAACTTTCTTGGGATTTTAAGAATTAATATCAAGATTGTTAAAATTAAATTAAACAGGAAATCAATATTTTTACCCAGCCCTGCAATAATGGTATAGAGCGAATGTTTTTATTTTTTTTGCCATAAATAACAGCTGTTAATTCTTCTGTCTCGGACAGGCACATCAGATCTGTTACTCTGTGCTCTGCCTCTTCTCCTACATGGCGGCGGTCAAGGGGAAAGAGTCAGAGGGCAAGCCCAAGATGCTGTCCCCTCGTCCACTACCGAGCTAGCACACTTCTCTCCTACGTTTACTTCAACCCTCCAGCTCCTGAACTCCCTGCAATACTACTCCTGTTCAATAGAAGCTGACACTCCTGCCAAGCTCCTTTTAAAGACCTCTGCTCCTGTATCGATTCAAATATAGATGTATTCACATATTCATCACATCTGTCCTAAAAGAAACAACCTGTTCATATAATGTATCTGATCACGTACCTGATATAATATTCCAGTCCTTGGACACTAAAATGCTGGCCTTTCATTTTCATAATAGGGACCAACCAGAGCAAGAACAGACTTTTGACTACTGTCGGTTGACGTCCTCACATTCATACACCTTTTATTTATTTCAATCGGAGGCATTTGGTTGCATGCAGGTCCCATGTGCAGCTCTTCCGAGTTGGCACTGGCATGCAGACATCAGGCAAACGTCTTTCCCCTCTTCAACCCCCTCTGATATCAGTCAACAGTCTGTGTATTTAATATTTGTGCTAAGTTGTACTGTAAATTACAGTCTGTTATGTCTGTGGTGGGTGAAATGTTCAAGTCTTTGCAATCTAGCGCTGCCACCTATGAGGGGTTTGCCTTAACCGTCCGCGACGGAGCAGCTATCCCATTCGTAAATGTTCCATACGCCCTCCTCCACCTGCTGTGAGTGGTCTAAGGTCTGTGTATCTCTTTAGCTTAAAAGGCTCAAACTACTGTACTAGTTCTGCTGTAAAGTTCCCTGTCTGTGAACTGCTGTGTTAAATTTGCATGTCACTTGGGGGGGAAAAATGGATATTTAAAAAAGGAATCTGTACATCTCTGAAGCAATGCTGAAAAAGCAACTAAAATGTTTATGAAAAACTAGTTTGTTTTCTAGATGTGCAATACTATCGCTAGTGGGTACCAAGAACAAGTCCAGTCATGTCCTCAGAGCTCATCCACTGTCCTCCTGTGTTCATAATGAGGAGACCAGAGAGCGGATCAGGCATCACTTCTGCGTTTTCTGTTCATTTCTTGTCGTTATTTTGACACAGCAATGAAAAAAGGCATTATTAATCTATAAGACAGCTGCATTTGGAGATTATTTAAATAGTGATGGAAAATTCTTGTCCAAAATGTCCTGTTTGAAGTGTCCTCTTCCTGTTTGTGTGTGTGTGTGTGTGTGTGTTAGAAACACTGATGGCAAGAGAGTGTGATTGTACGTAGAGGTGCAGATTTTCTCGGGTCATCTCTAAATTTGGCAGTACAGCTGTCACATTTACATATTTTAATATTCTTTTATGTTTTGCTCACATTTTTAGTAATTTAGATGTATGAAGTGTTGTATTGCGTCTCCATTCAATTCAGTTGTTGTATGCAGACTGTAAATGGACTTGAAAAGCCCACTCAATATTGGTTTTGAGATGTAAATAGCACACAAATGATTTCCCGGAGTCCAAGTCTCCCAAAACTGATGTTTTGAGTTGGACAGTGGATCAGGTCTGTTGTTTGAAAGTGTGAGAGAGATAAAGTTGCACATTATTTGGGCTTTCATTTTAGTCTGTATTGTTTAGAACAAGAGGGAAAGGAAAAAATGGAGACATGGTTGTAAATATTTCAGCATTTAAAAATATTTATAGAACCTGTACAGCTTTGGCAATATGAAAATAAAAGATGTCCAACCCAACTCTGTGACTGTACGTATTGTTACTGTATGAATTAGTTATTATATAGCGGACACAATTTTTTTTTTAATTAAGGGATGATATTTGCCTCCTAGAATTTTGTAATTTTTCCTATATTTGACCATATAGAAACTAGTTTATTTCAGCTTTTATTATTTTAGTTATTTGTCAAATACTTCAATTGGAACTTTAAAATCAACATCAAATACAAATGTAACATTTTTATAGTCACCACTATAATAATTTTAAATGAATGAATAGAATCCGTTTTAAATTTGAGTTCAGTTTCAAGTTTTTTTTTTTCTTTCATCAAAAGCAAATTAAGGGATGATATTTGCCTCCTAGAATTTTGTAATTTTTCCTGACCATATAGAAACTAGTTTATTTCAGCTTTTATTATTTTAGTTATTTGTCAAATACTTCAATTGGAACTTTAAAATCAACATCAAATACAAATGTAACATTTTCATAGTCACCACTATAATAATTTTAAATGAATGAATAGAATCCGTTTTAAATTTGAGTTCAGTTTCAAGTTTTTTTTTTTCTTTCATCAAAAGCCTACATATTTGCAACATATTCAAAAACGGACCCAGTAGATTTATAACCACAGCATGTGAGTTTTTGTGTAAGTGCATTAATGAAAAAGAAATGAGACATCTCTGTATATAAATTTATTTTATTGTCATTTTGGAAAAAGAATATCTTTGTCAGAGTACTGCTAAAACATTGTAAGGCTTCAGCTCCAACATTTTTTATATAAACATTGCATTGTTTACGTGGACGCCCATCCAAAAAAGCCCACTGGAGGTGCTCATAATCTTGAGCTCTTTAAATATCAAAATTGTCCATTAACAAAAATTGAGGCTATAGCAGGTTTGCAACTCGTCTACTAATTAGACTTATTAGCCACATGAGCTATATTTGCATTGTTGCTGCATTAGTACAAATTGGCCAGTTTTTCTTTCTATAACAATTTCATATTTGAGGCCTTTCAAGTATCAAAGACCTTATTCTCCACTGCTCATGACAATCACTATACAAGTACTGATAGTAATTAAATTGACTATCCAGTCTCCATACAGTATATCAAAACAGAGACAATTTGTTTTAGGCATCAGCTTATAAATAATTCTGTACCACGAGAAACAGTCGATGGCCCATCACTGTCCGAACTACTATTTACAGTACAAGCAAATATAAATTGAATGGTTCATTACTGCATAAAATGGGGAAACTATTTGTGGGTAAAAATCAATGTATCACATATGTTTATGTGAAGGAGAGGTTAAAGTACTGTCCGTTAAAATAATAATCCCTTAAAGACAAACAAAGGTTGGCTAAAAAGGTTTAGTTCTGTTGCCACCACATGTGAAATACATAAAAGCTAAAAAGGAAAATGATATAATACATCACAAACTCAATCTCAAACTGTGCCAGAGATGTCACTTTGTTGCAACATGGACTATATGACTGATGAAAACATTAGTGGTTCAGAATAAACCCATTGCATAAGCTCAGACTAGTACCATACTTTGGGCAGTTGTCCATACATATGCTAAACATTTAGTTCCAAACAAAATTTCGTCATTAATATATTAAGACTAAAGCCAAATTACCTCTGACAAACTGTCCCTTATATAGTAATAAGTCAAGACAAAGAAAATGACTGCAAGAAAGAGCTGAAGACTCCAAGATCCCTTCAGTAAAAGGCCGCAATAACAGTATTATATTAACTACAGAAGAGCAAAGATCTACTTGCCAAAACTGAAATGCCCAACAGAAAATATTCCTACGACCCAAAACTTTCTACAGTGAAGAGATGTTTTTAAAGTTATCTTGAAGAAACAGATTATTCCTATCATTAACTGTCACTGTAGTGTGGTGGATGAAGAGAAGTGTCTAGCTATCTCCACGGACAGCTTTCCGGAGGATCCTGAGACGGGACATGACCTCATCCCAGTCCAGATATGCTCCTTCTAGATGTCTTGAGTTCTGACCTCGTGACAGGTAGCTCTTTCGGCCATGCAACAGACGCCAGTTATCAAAGGTCACCATGTCACCTGCGCAGAGATGAAATGAACAACCAGCATCAGTCCCCTATTTATACACGCGCAATTCTTATGTTGTCATATTTGGTTTAGTAAGAAGGATAGCAGCAAAGGGAAAGCTTTAGGGCTTCAAAATACTTGAGATAATATGAGATCATTCTTGTGAACATTTTTGAAAACCCTGGAATTAGATTTAAAATGGAAAAGTTTCCAAAGCCTGAGCCTAATCCCAAATTCATAAGCCTTCGAAAATGCTTCATCTTTGTCTATTACGCAGTTGAGACTGTCGACTTTAGTGCAAATGTGAACTATAACACCAATAATCTGATAAGGTAAAGAGGTGAACTGTGTGGTCACACTGACCTGGTTCCATTCTGTATGTGCACATGTTTTCAGGCCTGCTGAGCAGCTCCACGAAGGCCGTTAGAGACGAGTAGAAGGGCTGAACCTGATGCAGAGGCACATCCAGCACCGAGTCTCGTGTGGCGTTGTTATAGTTGATCCTCGTCACCCGACCCTCAGAGTCCACACTGCACATTACAAACTAGTTTGTATTAAAGTTAGGAGGATTTATGAGAACTAATATAGTGTATTGTTGTTTATAATTGCATGGGAAAGCGTAACCAGTACAATTTTGCGTTACACTGAGGAAAGCAAGTCACAAAGGTTTGGAACAACATGTCAATAATGAATTTTCTATTGTAATAAACGCATTCATTGGTAGAAATGTAGCTCTTATGAGTCTCAGTTCTATAACTGACCATGAGATGGTGCTGTTTAACATTATTTACGTACAGTCAGTGTTGATGATGATGAGATGAGACAAAGTGAATCCACTGCATTAGCTATGCGTGATTATGTGTGTATGTATGTGTCTGCTGGAGCCACAGTCTGTCTTACTCTATAATGTGGTTTTTGGACTGCACGCTGAAGTCACAGTAGTCAGCACCGCTGTCTGTGAAGTCCACCCTGAGCGAGGAGAGGATGTTAAACGCCTCAGGATCCTCCCTGCGGAGCTGCTCCGCCATGTGAAACCCATCTACCACTTCACTCTCACCACCCTGATCAGCCTGACAGACACAATGCAGGAACTGCACCTACACACACACACACACACACACACAACCAGTGGTTAATACACACATATAGGAATTACAACAGCAGTCCTCTGGTGAAAAAAAATCACATTGAAGGGAGTCCCCTCACAATTAAAGAATGCATATATTCACTTAATGAGTAAGGTAGCACAGTATGGTGTGTGTGTGTGTGTGTGTGTGTGTGTGTGTGTGTAAACTCACCCCAGGTGGATGGTGCAGAGCAGGGTAATCTGTGTGCAGGCTCAGTTCTCCAGAAGTGTATGCAACATTGTTAGCCATGGGCTTGTCCTGAACTTGCCACGTGTGTCTGTGAAATCACAGAGGGGGCGATGGATCAGGACAGGACAAGACTAAGGAATCACTTCAATGAACAAAGCAGACATTTTTGTTATGGCAACGCAGTGTGAGAACTTAATAGTGATTTTTTTTGGTAGTGAATTCTTGATGAACCTACTCACTGCAAAGAAAAAAAAAAGCTGCAATGCCTATTTTTGTCTTTTTTATTTACTTCATTCAAAAGTACATCTGTGTAAGATAAACTTGTTTTCAGAAAATATATCTTATGTTTTTATATCATAATTATTTTTCCTATTTTACCCATTAACAAATTGCCTTTGTTAGCCTAAAATAAGATTTATTTATGCTTAAAACAAACAAAAACCAAAAACCGTATTGTCGAAAAATAAACTCAATAGATTATCTAAATACAAGTCTTACACGATTTATACTGAAAGATAAATAAATAAAATACATTTTTTAAAATAATTTTAAAAAACAATAAAAACATTTTTTGCAGGACTTTAACAATAAAAAACAAATATGAATTATGTAATAATGTTACAGAGATCCTTGCTTACTTATCCAGAACTAGCCTTTTTGATCCAGTTGAGTTCTTATTAAAGCACTATTTGAAATTTTACCCTAAAAATTACTCGAGTAACCTTAAGTAAACCTTTGTGACTCTGT